AGAAGCCCAAGTCATCGAGGCTGGAACAGTCATCACTGTCCAGCAAAGCTCAGCAAGGTCCAGCTCAGCATGGACCTTCAAATGGTCAAGCAATCAAAATGAGCCCGGGGATCGCTCATTCTCTAGCTTGACCAGAAAGCTTCTTTGATGACGTGGGTCCATAGCATAGCATCTGACGTCCATAGCAGTCGGTAGCGATCAGCTCAGTACACAGCCACCACACACTTCTTCAAGCATGGCCTCATTAAAGGGGGCAGAGAAGTTAACTGTGGCAATGTTTTAAGATGTATCATACATGTGCATGGAGGAGCATTGCCAGTGTGTGCAGAGGTCAGAGGACAACTTTTGGGAGTCAGTGCTCTCCTTCTCCTACACAGTAAGTACTTGTGCTCTCTGAACCAAGAGAACAGCCAGTAAAAGAGCCACCGCTCACGATCACTGAACTATGCTGCTTGCTAACTACAAACAGACTACCTATGAAGAACCTATGAGAAATAAAAGCTTTGTGGGCTTGCTGGCTTTAACACAGAATGAATTTTCTCAGTAGAATTAGTTCATATATATTAAATGTTAAATTCTGCAAAATGCTTCTGAACTGAAAGTTTTCAATGCCATAGTAAAACCCATTACTTTGCATCATGTTAACCTACCAATTTTAATTTTTAAAAAAAGTGTTTTCAGCACTACAGATTTAAGAAAGCTTGTCATCCTTGTGTCTGGCTCTGAGTCTTTACCACAGAGCATGACAGCCATAAAACTGAATTTAAAAGATCCTTATTGGGCTGGAGAGATGGCTCAGAGGTTAAGAGCACTGACTGCTCTTCCAGAGGATCTGAGCTTGATTCCCAGCACTCACGTGGGAGCTCACAACCACCTGTAACCCCAGTTCCAGGATTTCAGATGAATTTTCTAAAAATAAGAATTTTCGGGCTGGAGAGGATGGCTCAGAGGTTAAGAGCACTGACTGCTCTTCCAGAGGTCCTGAGTTCAATTCCCAGCAACCACATGGTGGCTCACAACCATCTACAATTCAATCTGGTGTCCTCTTCTGGCGTGTAGGCAGAACAATGTATATGTGATAAATAAATCTTTAAAAAAAAAAAGATCCTTATCATTACCCAGACATTTCTGATTTTTCTAGAACTGTGATGCATGCCATACAGTGGTTTTAAAAGAGGGGGAATGTACTTTAGAAATAATTTTATAATATTGTAATAACTCTTGGGGAAACGAAATATGTATTGTTAAGTACAATCTCCAGAAATCCCAGGGAGATCAGAGAAGCTTAACTGCTGGCTCTTTGTCTACTGACCCAGGGAGCACCAAGGGTCCTGGTTTGATGGGAGGGGCTGGGGGAAAGGAGTGACTATGACCTGAGACTACTGAGATCCAATCTTAAATCTCATATCAAAGTGGACAGTGCAATCTGGAACCAGAGAGAAAACAGAGCAGACAGAAGTGTAGGCATCATAAGATAGGTGGGATTAAAGGCAAAGACAAACTTTAAAAAGCTGTAGCCCCTCTAATACTTAAAGATGGGATGGACAAACTTTAAAAAGCTGTACCCTCTAATACTTAAAGATGGCATGGAGGGAGCTAAAAGAAAGTAGCAAGTCAAGGCAGAAGGGTTATAGGAGGCTCTGGTATTCCGGAAAGAGAGAACTCTGCTCATGACATAGGTACATCAAGTGCCCAAAGGAAACCTGTGGGTTCAGCACCTTAAGGTCACAGGAAAGGACAGTGCTTCATCAGAGCAATGATGGGAAAGAGGCCACAACGAACTGGATAGTTAAAAGAACAGTGTGAAGGACTAAGCAGCACTTTCTACTAAGTTTGCCAGGCCCACGGAGCAGATAACTTCAGGAAAGCACTGTCAGTGCAACCACAGGGGTCTGTTCAGTGTGCAGAAGGGGAGCATGTCAGAGAAAGCGCCTCACAGGATGTCCCGTGAGACCACACTACAGGGGGAGTGGAGGATTTATGGCTGGCTTCTAGAAGCATCCATAACTAAACACTCATGTCCACAGCTGAAGTGATGGGCAGATAATGAGAAGCCTCACTCATACCAAGTCAGATCTTGGCATTCTATTAACAAATATTCCCATGTCAGAGCTCTTGCATTTCAAAATTGTGGGTAGGGGACTATGGATTTTCATTTAATACAAGTTTTGAGAAAACAGAAATAAGCTGAAGAGCCTCGGAGGGCTTTGAATTAAATTCCAGCTCCCCTCCATACACACTACATGAACTTAGACAAAATGTCCATGGTCTATGAACTTGGATGGTATCTGTTGTGACTCTTCTGGGAACCGTGGAAACAGTTACGAGGCTGGAAACTTCTAGTATCAAGGTTCGTACTGGAAAGTGAGATAACTACCTCAGTGTGCTTGGGACTTCCCTGGATTTATCATGGATAGTACCACATCTTGGGAAACTAGCACAGTTGGTCACTCCACTCATCAGGCAGTCATAAATGGGACACATTCCAATGTGAAAAAAAACTGAAGTAAATGAATAAAAATGTACAGCGAGGGGAAAATGACTCAAAAGAGTTTCAGCAATGAAGCAGGTCACTGCCTACAAATTACAGAGCCCCATGTGGCAGGCAGAGCTCTTACTTCACCCAGTCTTATGTGTATAACCTGTAGTCCTCTTTCAAGAATGGGGTGGGCCTAGCCAATTCAGGGGCCCTTCTCCAGAGACAGGGTCAGAAAGACTGCACAGAGTGGAGAGGCTCACATGACAAGTTCACTGAATGAATGGCCCCTTAGGCCCAAAAACCTATCCACAATCCCAACAACCTGCATGAGCATACTGTGTTACCCAGACTGAGAGATCTTGAGCAGAGGATACACTGTATGAGGATTTCAAAACTACAGCACTGTGAGACCTGAGATTTACACCGCTTTCAGCAAGCATATTCATGCTGGTTTATTGCATATCTTTAAGACAGTCCCCAAGCTATGCATATGCAAGGCATGTGTTTTATATACCTACTGCAATAAGTTTTAAAGTATCTGTAAAATATAATTCCTAAGTGTAAAATTCTCCAAAAATTAATAACAATATTATGTATATGCATATATACAAAACTTACTTTTAGTGAGAAAGTTCAAACTCATCAGAAAGATATTAGTAAATTAAACTCAGACTGAGAAGCAGACTCTCAGCCTGGCTTTTCAACTGAAATTTTCAAATTTCAGTGGTAGAGTGTAAAGTGGTATAACCGCTTTGGAAAAGTATTTGGCAATTTCTGTTCTTAAATGCATACCAACACTATGACTCAGAAATTGTACTTTCTGAGTGCACAGCTAGCTCTACCAAATGATATACATTGTGCATGCCTGCTCACAGCAGTTATGATGGTTACAGGCAAAAACTAGAAGAAATCCAAATGCTCATCGATAGAATGGACAAATGGGGTGTTTTATGTCAATGGGAAACTAGCATCAGTTAAAGGCCAGTCTTACAATGTGCACAGCAGGGGCGATTCTTAGATTTTACTGAGTAAAAGAAGTCTGACTGTACATGATGAGAAACATGGGTGACCCTTCAGTGAGGGTGTGCCTTCCTGATGCACAGAAGCATCTCTACAAAGACCTGATGGACACTGCACCAAGAACATCTATGAAACAGAGAGTAAGCTCGCAGAATGTGCAGTGTGCCCGCTGCAGCCTTGATCTGGGACTTGAGTTTTCATAACTATGGACAGTAAATCTATACTGTTTATAAACTACCTGATAACACGATAGCTAATTACAGCAGCAAGAAGGGTCTAAGACGAATGTAAAGTCAACAGCAGGTCCCCACAACAGGCACTGGGACACTCCACAATTAATCTGGTGGAAATTTACATGTGAAAATATGCGTTATATCGCTACACTATGAATGCTGAGCTCCTCTCTAGACCCCAACGGTGAAATATAGCCTAAAGGGAAGGCCTTTATAAAGGCAGAGTACTCCTAAATGGGATTCATGTTCTCACAGAAGATCCCAGAGGATCTCTCAACCTGTTCCCAACAAGAAAAAATTTGTTAGTGTATCCCCATCATGTCCACAAAACCCTCTTAAATTGGCAACCGAGATTTCAGAGCAACCTCCAGAACTGTGGGGCGTGAGTCTGGGTTGATCATAAACTACCAAATCTGTAGTATTTAGTTACAGCAGTCTGAATGGACTGACACATATCTCAAAAAATATTCTTGCTTTTGCATAACCATCCAATGACATTTTTAGACACCCAAAATCGTCACAGATTCCTCATAAGAAACACTCAAATAAGCTAATGAACAATGAAGCATATTACCATGGTGTTATACAGATAAACTTAGCAAGAAACTACCAACCATGGCCTTCTTTTAAATACAGAGTTAGCACTTGAGCATTTCTCAACAAATAGTAGAATAAACCACATACAATGCCACTTTTGGTTTTAGAAAGCCAGAAGAATCTATTTATAAATATAGAACACATAAATGTAAGTACAACAGAGCTTATACAATGTGAAAACAGTGGGTCTTATCAAATGAATGACTTTTTACCTCCAACTAGGTGTTAAGCCATCACCACAGAAACACAGTAATCGGCTACTGAGGCAGAGGTAGCACCACTGTGACTTTCACACTGAGCCTTAGGATAGGACACTCCCTTCTGTGTCATGGAAACCAGGAACCTAAAAAGCTGATTAGGATCACCTAGTGTGATTCTTCTGCCCTAATCAGATACCCCACAGTGGGTATCCCCCAAACAGCTGTGCCCTTCTCAGGAGGGGAGAGCAGGAAAGGATGGGGACACGTGACTGACTTGTGGAAGGACAGGACACCCTGAACAATGCCCACCTCAGCATCTATCTTGGTGACATACAGGAGACGAAATTCACAATATCAAGTCTCACTGCCACCAAGTCTAGGAAACTGAAATAAAGTTTGGGGCCAGGGAGGAGGTTCAAAAAAGACCACTAGACACAACCACAGAAAAATGGAAACAAAATCAGAGCTCACCTCACTGTTGTGGCCTCGCAGGTTGAAGTTGATCCTCTGTGGAGTACTCCGGTCTCTGCGACAGTGACTAGAGGTGAAAGTCACCCCCACCACACCACGCCCATTGCCCGTGGCCAGCCACCCTTCTTCATAGTAGCGCCTTCTGCACACAGGCTTCTCCTTCTCGCTCTTGGGGACACGCCCTTTCCAGGACAGACACAGGATGTTGGAGTCACTGCAAAGCACAGGCCCATGCTCCACTGCTGCATACATATTTTTTCAATGAATTATTTCACTTAAAAAGAACTGAAAATTTCAAACCAAGTTCTTTCATTGGCTTATTTTTGTGGCTGAACTCAGTTGGTTTTTGTTTTTCTCCTTTAGTTATGAATGATCTAGAGTCTAATTAGGTCAATATTTTATAAAGATCCACCAAATGCATAGTGAAAAAAATCCCTCTATAAAAGATAACATCAGTCTGCTAAGAAAGATAATGCCTAAAAGCACATGGGGTCCGTTCTCATTTTCAAGTTTTTAGGGGGAAAGCATGCCAATCCTTTGGAGAAAGAGCTCTGTTAGCAAGTGGTGATGGAGAATCAGTTCTCTTCGTCGTCACTCAGTTTGGTTATTCTCAACCTGAGATTCCAGTTTCGTGTAATGTGATTCCAGAGATAAAGGGTTGCAGACACATGGATTTCAAGTAACTTAAGGCGTTGAAGAATCCCTCTAGCTGGAATTTTCTACTCAAAAGTTCAAATGCAGACAATGAAATACAGGATTACCTTCTTTCTGAAGCCACCCTCCAGCACATTTTCTGAACTAGACGAACTTCTGCTGTACAGCTGAAAAAGGTTGCATAAGGGAAAGGCACACTAATGTGCAAAATCAGACTCGAGCTCGTGTGCAGACAGCAGCCCAAATTTTAGCAAGAAAAACACTTTTCCCCACTGTTCACAACCAGAAGTTTCCTGTCTCAAAGGCTGGCCCTGTGTCCCTAGGAACACGTGGCTCCCTAGAAGGGACTCCTCCATTGGTTGGAGCACCCCTCAGTGCCATAGGGACTGAGGCAAAGCCCCTCCCCTCACTGGGGCGCAGATTAGAGCTGCACTCAACCTGGAGCTGGTGCTCTCCTTACTCCTGCTTCTGCCTGGTAAGAGGCTGCAGGTGTTTGCTTCTCCTTAAACGCGTTTCTCTGCTTTTTTGCTCCTAAAGATCATGTATTCTTCTAGCTTGGTGGAAAAGAAAGCAATCTTAGAATTAAGTCCATTAAATAGTCTTCCTCTTACACCCAAGTCTTTACACCATCCCTCCAGGCGTGTTATCAGCGTCCTCCAAGCTGGACCTCTCTCTAGAGCGGCTCTACGCTCTGCTGAAGATACCTACAGGTTCTCGTTCAAGCCTGTTCACACACCTTAGACCAAGAAGGGTTTTCCTTGATATTTATTTTGTAGTTGGCAGTTCCAATTAGAATTTTAAAATACCTTGTATTTGCAGGAAATAAAAAGACAATAAATAAAAATTTTTTTCAAATAGTTAGCTAAAGACACAAAAGAATCGGTTCCTTTTCAGATCTCTCCCCTCATGCAAGCCGCAACCACAGTAAAAGCTACTGAACTTCAGTCCAGAGTTCGAAGGCTGCTCCTTCTTTGATCTTGAGGCTTAGAATGTGTAATTTTTTTCTTCTGCAAACTTGCTCTGCCCAAGAACACCATAAGGAAAATTTGTCATTAGTGATGGACTGCTCTCCACCGACTCCAGACCCCAGTAGTATGAAGTTGTTTCATCTGATGCTTAATTTTCATCAGGTGCAAAATTCCGCGTGTGTAGACAGAGCCTGTCTTCTTAGGAAGGTTTTGCATGTACAGATGCACTCTTCAGCTGGCACTTGATGTGCTTGTCTTCCCAGTTAATTCAGGAACTGTCAGATTACTCATGACTTGAAGGCTCTTACAAACCTGCAAATCAATCACAAAAAAATAGGACATATGTATATATTTTAAAATAAAAGTTCTAACAAGCAAGTGCTGTAGCTGAAACTAATGAATAGTTCTTACACCTATCTGATGAAGTCGCTGATTGTAGTAACTGGTAAAACCCAAGTAGTAAATGCATATGAACACTCCCAGAAAAACAAGACAAGAATCTTGTGACCTCAGTGTCTTCAAAACAAGAAATTGTTCTAGGAATGTGTTTTCATGCTCCTCCCAGGTGTAGCAGATAGAAGTAAGTTTACCTCAGATTACTCATTGCTTGCTGATGTTATTCAATTAAATGTTTAAACTATCTTTTACACGCCTCTGTGGAGCCATGTGCAGCTTGTTCTTGTGACTGTACACAGCTTGAACTCAAGAGAACTTTACTCTGTGACCTTTCCTAATGCTAAGTATAAATTGTCTGAGGCTCTGAATGAAGCTGGCTGTAGTCTGCCTCATTAATGGGGTCCATTCTCCCAGGCCCCACCACCTCTAGAGCAGTGATATGTGTCTAGTGGTAAACTCTGACATCCCAGAGCAAAAGTGGAAGATGCAGCTAAGGAATCTCACAAGGCTGACAGTCCAGAGTGAAGGGAAATAAGATTAACCACAGCACACTCAAGGAGGAAATGTCTCCTGAGCGGCCACCATAGCCTAAGCTGAGCCGGCACTGGAAATGCACAGGTCAGTGAGTCTAGGCCCTGAGTCAAGAAGCACCAGCACGGTGGGAGAAGAAAGACAGGCAACACGGACTTCTTTACCAAGAGATCAATGAAGCAAACAACAGTCAGCAAAAGCTGTTATGAGTTGAGATCCCTAATCTGAAAAATCCTGGGTCAGAAATGCTACTTTCAGATGGGAGGTGGTCAACCTTTACAACTCTGCAGCCATACTCACTGGGCAGTACGGTTCCCATGTAAAAGGATATTCAAAAACAATTCACTCTGATTCTATTTTTAAAGTAGGAATAAAGAATAATGCAAAAAGGGGTACAACTAAAGACTAAAACAACACTTCCTACCGAATGGTCATGTTCTGAGAGTGACCTACTGAAGAAAGGATAAAGGCTGAGCAAGAACTAAGAATGTCTCCATTACCAAGGGCCTGTTGCTCACCTGCACATCCACAACCTCCCAGAGCTAATACAGCACTTCACAAATTCTTACATCGAGGTTGGAATATTTTAAGTGAGGTTTTCAAACCTCACTAGTCTAAGAGTGACAGAAATAAGACTCAACATCTCACGCCAATACCATCCTTTTCCACCAAACCACACTGCCAAGATTAACAAGAGTCACTTCCACACCCTTGCTGCTGTAAAACAGGAAAAGCCTTGTGATTATTTGATGAGAACAAAAATTAATCAAGACCAAATTAAGTATTCTCAAGCTCCAAATATCTAGAGGAGAAAACAAATGACTTAAAGGAAGAAAACTGTGAAATCTCAGGAGTAGAAAGTTGGGGAGTCAGGTAATTTTTATCATCTACATTTTTTTTTTTTTTGGTTTTACAAGACAGGGTTTCTCTGTATTGTTTTGGAGGCTGTCGGTCCAGCCCGGCCTCGAACTCACAGAGATCCACCTGCCTCTGCCTCTCCAGTGCTGGGATTAAAGGCGTGCACCACCACCCCCCGGCTTATCATCTACATTATTAAGACATCATGTTTTGTGGTATCTCTTGTTCATGCTATTAAGTGAAAGTCAATTTAGCTAAAATAGGGGATTATATCTGGTTATTATAAGAATACACACAATACTTACTGGTAAATCCACTGTGTAGATAGTTGGCAATCCCCTAAATTTTTAATAAAGTACATAGCAACATTCGAAAACACAAACAACCAGAGTGAAATTTCCTTTTAGAATGACAAAGATAAGAAGTAACTTCCCAGCAAGCATGGTCAGTCAGCACAATGTGGATGTGGTGGCAATCATTTCCCAATTCTGCTTTATTTTTCCAGAAAACAATGTGGCAAAATGCAGAATGTGATTAAGCCAATGTTATTAAAACTAAAACAAAGAATCAATGAAAGATGTCCACAAAATGTGCTATTCAGAGCCGGGCGGTGGTGGCGCACGCCTTTAATCCCAGCACTCGAGAGGCAGAGGCAGGTGGATCTCTGTGAGTTCGAGGCCGGGCTGGACCGACAGCCTCCAAAACAATACAGAGAAACCCTGTCTCGTAAAACAAAACAACAACAACAACAACAACAACAAAAAGATGTGCTATTCAACACTGCCCAAATTCCAGTTGGTATATTACTGAGAGGCAGGGGAGTATGTCATATAAAAGTGGAAAGTACCCAAAATCACCTTTAGCTATACATCTAATTAACAGGTAACAGAATGTAATGAAAACAGATTAAGAGAGTTAAATAACATGGGAAAACACAACTGCTATGATCTAAGAAAATTTTGATATGCCCCCAAATTGTTATGTTAGCTCCTAATACTCAGGGGGATATGCTATCAAGTTTGGGATCTTGGGCTGGAAATACAATGTAACAGTTAAGAGCACTTATTCTTTCAGAGGATCTGGGTTCAATTCCTAGTACTCACTTGACAGCTCACCAACATCTGTAACTCGAGTTCCAAGGAATTCAATGCTCTCTTCCGAGGGTACCAGGCACATGCGGTACGTAGATATACACACAGGCAAAACACTAATACACAAAAATTAAAATAAATAAACCTAAGAAAGTTTTAAGAGCTGGGGACCTCAGGAAGTGATTCCATCATGTTATAGCAGTGGAAAGAATGAAGAGAGTAAGACAAGAATAAATTCAAGATGACAAGTTAGGCCATGTGTTTTCCAAATTCCCTTAAAATGATCAGAGATAGAAGAAGAAGAAGAACTACAGAAAACAGAGACCAATGGTTGACCTTCTAAATTACCAAAAGACAAATGGGAGTGTATGAGATCAGACTGGCAGGAAAAGTACCGGAGAGCTTTGATTCAGTTGAGCAAGTACACTACCTCAACCAACTTCTATCGCTTCCGTCAGGGGCTAGCAAAAGAATGACACAGAGAAGCAGACTGACTCTAAAGCTTTTCCTGTACCCGCCAGGCAGTGGGACAAGAGGAAAGGGGAGCAGCACTGCAGTTAACTGGAGAGCCGCGTAACGGGCTAACTAGGAATGGATCCAGCCTGTCTTAGCAAAGCAGTGAAACCCTTAGTGATCTCCAGCACTCACAGAGGGCCACTGCTAGAGCTGGGCAGAGGACCAAAGATCCAACTGCGGGCATTCTGGATCCTACCCTCCCACTAAGTACAGTTAACTGTCTCAAAGGGAATGGAGCCTAGCTTTGATCACGCTACATGGATGAGAGGTGCTCTGGTTTTCCAACTGGGTGTGACACTGACAAACCAACTTAAATGAAGGCAACCACACTGTCGAAATATAATGTATTTACATGATGGACAATTACCTACCTTCAAAAACTCTGAGAAGTGCCTGATAATAGATGAATGGGTAAACAAAATATAATACATACATACATACAGTTATCCTCTAACCTTAACAGGATAGAAAATTCAGGCACATGGTACAACAAGAATTCTGAGAACACTATGCTAAACTTTAAAAGTCAATTCCAACATGACAAATACGTATGGACAAACACTAACAGGGGACACCCAGACTGAGGGGAGGTTAACAGTGTACAGTTCCAATGTTAGAGAAATTACCATGTTGCATGCTATGGCGGCTGCCTGGTACTATGAACATAGATAGTACGACTGAATTATACTTATAATGGTTAAAATATTTTATATATTCTTTACCACAGTAAATTTTTCACAAAAAGGAATTATGAAAACTATATAAAATGCCAGGCTTAGTGACAAATACCTGTAATCCCAGAATTCAGGGGTTGAGACAAGAGGATCATGAGTTTGAGGCCTGTCTAGGTTATATGGGGAGGAAAGAGAGAAAAGAGAGAGGGAGTGACAGACAGCCAGACCAGCAACAGAAATATAAAGGAAAAACTTTCATTATATCATTTTAAAATTTAAGACACAGAGCTATTTATGGTCTCAATTGTAATTATGAAAATGCACATGAAAAAAGCATTCAAGAGAATGCTATACTTAAGAAGTATGCCAGCAGGACTGCAGTGATCTACCCATCTTATAAGCATGCTGTGGGCTGGACATACACAGCTCAGTGACAGTGTGTACTCACAGTTTGAGCCACTGTGTTCCTGCCCCAGCACCACCAAAGAAAAAGAAAGTAATATAAATGTACTCTAAAGTTTTGCTATTTTTTTATGCTCAAACTCATGAAACAAAAACAGCAAAAGGAGACAGTACCACAATGGCAAAGCTCGAGCGTCTGTAACCATAAAGCTAGCCATCTCCATTCTTGCCACTCCACCTTTGATGTGAAATGTTAAAGCTTCACACAGTTACAATATCTGAAGACTGCAATGAACTAAGAACCAAAGGGGAGCTCTGGACATGCAAGTTAGATCTCATGTTGGGCACATAAACAATTTTGCTCAGATTTTCAGTTTAGGAAGAAAATGTTAGGACTCAGTTGAGCCAAAGTGGGCTAACAGCGAAAATGCTTTCTTTCTACTTTTGTGTTTTGCTTTTTGAGTTTTTTGTTGCTGTGGTTTGAGACAGGGTCTTACTACACAGCCCAGGCTACACCAAACCCACTATGTAGCTCAGGGTGGCCTCAAACTCATACTCCTCCTGCCTTAGTTTCCCAAGTGCTGAGATTATAGGCTTACACCAGCCTGCCCAGCTCACAGCTCTTTTAGCTGAGCTCAACTCTTCTGTGAGAGAAGTGTGAGCACTAAGTAAGTCCATCAAGTTATAATGGGGGTGGGGGACATGATCAGAATACCTGCATGAAAAATTGTCTTCAGTGAAAAGGAAAAAAATGAGATGGGCTAAGACTCTAAAGATAGTTCTGGACAACCTACTGGAGCCCTGGTATTGTGCACACTTCTGTGAAACAGTATTTGCTCTGCCT